TTCTGAGTATATATAGTTTCACAGAGAAAGTGTTTAAGAGTAATAATACATTTCTTGGTTTCAGGGATTAACTCTTTAGGAAATAGAACATATCAATAATTCAAATTTTTTTCTCCTAATCCTAAATGAATGTAATCCAAGAAGAAGAAACCTGCATTGTATATCTGCAACTGCAACATTTTATAAGTATAGATTGATGAGTTTCCGGATCAGCGATTGTCTACACATCCCTTTACGGATAATTTTGCCGGCGATCTGCAGAGAATAGAGCACATGAATTGAATCAGCACGCAAAGAAAACAGAACCATGATCACTAATAGTCGCAGCACATCAAGAAAGATCAAAGAAAACAAATACGTTCAAACAGAGTAATATACACAACAAAAGATTGGAAATCATATACTAACCACATGGAATCAAAATGGAACCATATAGCTTCATTCTATCAACAAGCAGCGCAAAGAACCGGGACGGTAGGCAATGAGCTAGACATAAGGTATTCATTGCCTTCTTTGTAATTGTAAACCTAGAATGTCGAACCAATTCCTAACCGAAAAAGACATGTCCAAGGCAAATCATGAACATCTATTCTACGCAGCTTATTTCTTGTTAGAACATTCTCATCTAGGCAGAAGAAACATTTTCCGCCTTCTTTGCAATTGATTGAGCCATTACTTTACTCATAATCTGATCCTAAAGTTCGAGCTTCCCGTAGTAAAAACAGTGACCTTTACTCAACTACTTAAAAGAAAAATTGGGGAAATCAGAACTGGAATATGATGCACATGTTTTATAATAATGGTTGCATGTGCTTTGTAAACTCATTTCAACCATTAAAGCAGTATGGTGTTAGAGGCCAACAGACAAAAAGATTACATCAAAGCAACAAATCATGTTCAATTGTTTCCCTCTCAATTCTCAGAAGAAAAAAAAAGATTTCTATCTGCTCAAAAAATTAAAGCAGGGAGGTGAAGAGCACAACTGCGGAAAAGTCAAAACTACTCATACATTTCTGTTCATCATTACAACTCGATTAAGCCAACCTACCACGATACGGGGAAAAAGGCACATAAATTCACTAGTAAACAGACATGGTAACTAGTAATTGTAGGCGAGAATCAAAGCCTGTGCCTAATGACCTCATCTACAATCGATACCCAATGGTGGGGGATTACATAGCCTGATATGTTCGCTACTACTAATCGGAATTGCCTAAACATTCACTACTCACCAACTTCCACAACTGATCAAATGTGGCCAAAATTCACAACAAATCCAAGAACATGACTCATTCAAAGCTCAAGTCTATACCATACAGAACAAACTACAACAATCTGAGATTGGAAAAGCAATGAAGTCGATGAATTTTCTGGCTTACTTTTTATGACGCCGACTTCTCTTAGGTCCCCAACCTTGAAGCTTAGCAATTGGGCAACCACACCTTGATCGGAAAAGCAAAACAGCTCGGCCATTAGGCGGAGCCATCTTCCGTAGCTCAGCTCTTAAACACTCGTAATCAGGATTGCTCTCGCTGCCTCCTTTCCACGGTAACCGATCAATCTCCTTCGCCGATCCCGATTTGACGCATTCCTCCGTCTGTAACTGCAAATCAAACTCCATAGCTTTCTTCAACCCTTTGCATTTCGGGTTACGGCATTTCCTCGATCTCGACCCGCAACATAGGTCGAGAAACGCAATCGACGCCGCGAAGAAGACGGCGAAGGCGAAGAAGAACGACGCCGGAGGGAGACCGGTGGTGTCTTCGTCTTCGTCGTCGTGATCGT